TCAATTTTTTTAAAAAATAACAACTTTACCATTATTTTTTTTGTCTTCTTCCTCTCTGCTTTGATGTGATCTTTGTGTTCTTTTTTCTCAATCATTCCAACACTCCATTCTTTTTTTTTTTTAAACATTTTTTTTAGAAAACCACTACATTATTCTAGCTAACATCTCCATTCTCTCCCTCGAAACCAAATCTAATGTCCTCCTGAATGTTCCTAATTCAATTCGTGTATATCATGTTGGTATCTAAATAACTTATTTATGTATTGTTAGTTATTTTGTCATATAACAATTATTAAAAATTATATATATATTATTATTTAAAAATTAGAACATACTAATTGATTGTTGGGCATGACGTTTCGTGCAAAGCGCGTGCCCGCGACTAGTAATGTTAATATAAATTACTAGTTTGTTAAACCATGCTAGACACCCATACATATGTCATTCCCGAACGTGTCATTGTTTTATTGAATACATATATTCCTTATTAACTCATGGTGGAGTTGGTCTATTCACAATAATTTATGACAATAAAAAAAAATCTATTTGATTAATAGGTAGTGATAATTGTAAGGGTGAACAATATTATCCATATTATAAGTCGATAACAAATTAACAATTTACGAATCAAACCAACCTAACTAACCAATTAAGTCAAAGACCATTCAGTTATTTATTATTCAATTTTTAATTTTAAACTTTTTTTTGGGTGACGAAAAAAATTCGTATCCATTATCCGAAGAAGTGTACAAGGTAAATTTCACTCTTATATAATAGTTTTGAAATCAAATTAGATATGTAAACCCTACCTACTAGGAAGACCTTATGGGTATTCGACCAATAAAGCATTGTGAGTTAATTTAATTTTTTGTCCTAGATTTATAGGTGTCAATCTACATTTAGTATTTTGTTTTCAGAACATCCCTTTTGGTCGGCAATTTATATCCTACACCACGGTGCGCGTTGCACTGTGCGCCCAGATGCAAAATGACGTCGTTTTAATTTTTTATTTTTTTTAAAAATTTCCCGCCCCAGTGAATGGCAGTTATTTTTTCTTTAAAAAAAAACCCTGTTCAAAAATGTACATAATGTTATACTAGAATACACATATTTGTATACATGAATGTACATAATTATATAGCAAAATATACATACTCTTTTTAAAAGATAATACACATAATCTAACATAATACATAATAAACATAAACTTTTAACATAATACACATCAACTCTTAACATAATACACACAAATTTTCTAATTCGGATGTACATAATTGTATAAAAAGAATGTACATAATTGTATAAAAAATGTACATAACTATATGAACAAATATCATAATTGTATGAACAAATATACATAATTGTGTGAACAAATATACATAATCACAGCAACTTCCTACCGCGCGTCCCAAAATGACGTCGTTTTGGGAGGCGCGCGGTGCACAGTGCTACGCGCGTCGTGGTGTAGGGTATAACGATTGCCTTTGGTCTTAGTATTTTTGTGACGTGACCATTTTTTATCCTCTACCAACAAATAATTTAAATTTCGTTAAATACAAATGCATTTCAAAATTCAATTATAGATTTTTTCAAAAAAAAAAAAAATACTCCGGTACAAAATTATAGCAGGTCAATCCACTTTGTATTAAATAAAGATCAAAATGTCTTTGTATTTAACGATATTTAAACGATTTTGTTGACAGAGAACCAAGAGTTATTATGCGACAATAATATTAAGACCAAAATAACTTAAGTGGACTGTCACCTATAAATTTAATATCAAATATTGAATTAACTCAAGCATTGTAAAAGATTTAAGTGTATTTTTTTTTGAATGCTACTAGCTCTATTACATTGTAGTATCTGTTCATATACTTTCTCAACCTACTAAACACAAAGAGCCAATAACGCATCCACTGAGGCACGAACTCACAACCTTCCAAATGGAACTCACAACCTTCCAAGTGTATAAATGACAAGTTATATATGTTCTGTCGGGACGAAGTGTAAGGGGCCTTGGGCTTGAGGATTCAACCTTTTTGAAGAATTTTAATCCACCTTAGATACAAGTTAACAGGATAGTTGGATCAGTCTTCATCATCAAACGGTCTTCTCATGCTCTCCTTTGGTCTAACGGTAATTATTTTGAAATCAAACTTGTGATCACTCGTTTCGCAAATAACCTACCTATTATTAGCAAACCAGCAATCGAACAATTTCAATTTGAAATTTCATTCATGTGCAAGATTTGTTAACAGAACAGAGTTAATCTTTTTCCATAAATCCCCTTTTCTTTTCTGCTAATTGCAATTTTGTGTGAATCTTGAATCCGTTAATCTCTTGAATCCACTATTTCCCCTATATTTCTACTATATTTGCATTGGATGGGAGGATGCACCAGCAAAAAGTGGCAGGTTTTTTATTCAAGTCGAAGCAATGATGTGATAAGTACCCTAACTTCTGTGGGAGTTGACATTGGAGAATTAAGCTTTGGTTCCTTGAAGGAATCATGGGAAGTTTTCGGGATATGAACCAAAAAGTGGTGAAGGTGATCATGTTATCCAAGAAGGACATACGGAGGAATCAAGAATTTTCTGAGCTGGTTGAGGATTACTTTGAAAACTGCTTAAAAACCCAAGACTTCTGCGCTGCTGTCGTGACCTCCAAGTTCTGAACTAATGAAACAGTAGAAAGGGGTAGAGGGGAACAGAAGAAATTTAGGGTTTAGAGGAAAGTTGAGGAATTCTATTGAATCCGAAATTAGGTCTCCAAAAAAAAAAACATAATCATTCTTCTTACAAACAAAGCATAAGTAGCTGCAAAACATCCAAAAAACTTCTAACTAACTCCCACATTTCTCGCTGAGGCATCTGCTGTCTGTTCGGACCATCCTGGGGCCAAAACGACGTCGCATGAAAGCATTCTTCCACGGTTATAACGTCTACGAGTGAAACAACGTCGTCCGAACCTTTACTTAAACGGCCCCCAACGGTAGCTCACACGATGTCGTTTGGATAAGTTATGCCAATCCTTCCTTCTTCTCGAAACGACGCAGCTTTGGTCCTTTGACTTTCATTCCTCTTTTGATTTTCCTTAGCTTCTGATCTCAGCTCTTCCCCTTCCAATTCAAACCCCATATCTTCCTTAAATTTTCCATGTCTCAAGTTAAGGGATGCAACATTGCCCTCCTCTTCATTGGATCCTTGACCCCAAGGATCAAAGTTAGGGAATTGTTTAATGATGTGATGATAGTTCTCCCAGGTGGCAGCTTCTTTAGGTAGATTGGCCCATTGCACCAAGATTTCTACCTCAGCTGCATTGTTCCTCTTCACCATTCTTTTTCCTATGGCAGCAATGGGTTGAGTGAGAATCATGCCCTTTGCATCAGTGATGGGCAGAACTGTCTGAGGTTCTATACCTTCTCCCACCCTTTTCTTTAGTAAGGACACATGAAATACTTGGTGAATAGCAGCTTCCCCTGGAAGTTTCAACTTATATGCAACCTGCCCAATTTTTTCAATTACCTCAAATGGCCCATAAAACATGGCTGTCAACTTGAGATTGGACCTCACAGCTACAGAAGACTGCTTATAAGGTTGAATCTTCAAGTAAGCCCAGTCACCTACTGCCAAACTCCTCTCAGTCCTATGCCTGTCAGCCTATTCCTTCATTATGGCTTGGGCCTTAGTTAGGTTCTCTTTGAGGATAGCTATCATCACAGCTCTTTCCATGAACCAATCCTGTTCTCGTCCTTCTGTAAGCACTTTGAAAGTTAAATAAGGAGGTGTATATCCATAAAGAGCCTGGAATGGTGAGCATTGTAACGATGTGTAGAAATTAGTATTGTACCAATACTCAGCTAAATGTAACCACTTCATCAAAGTCTTAGGTCTATGGAATACCATGCACCTCAAATAAGTTTCAACACATGTATTCACCCTCTCAGTTTGTCCATCTAACTGAGGGTGATATGAAGAAGACATGCTCAATTTAACCTGCATTTGGTTGAACAATTCCTTCCAAAACATGCTGACAAAAATCTTATCCCTATCACTGACAATGTCTTGGGGTAGTCCATGCAGTTTGTAGATATTTTCCATAAATAAATCAGCCACTGTTTCAGCTGTGAAAGGGTGAGACAAGGACATGAAATGTCCATACTTAGTAAACCTGTCCACCACAACCATTATGACATCCTTGCCTTGTGATTTTGGTAATCCCTCAATGAAATCCATGGATATTCCTTGCCAAGCCTGTTCTGGAATAGATAAAGGTTGTATCAGGACAGGATATGCCACATTTTCCTCCTTACATATTTGGCACACATCACAATTTCTGACTGTTTGGATTACTTCCCCCTTCATTCCTTTCCAGTAGAACAACTGCTTAAGCTTGTGGTAAGTTACTTGTTGTCCAGAGTGACCTCCCATGGGGGAATTGTGCATTTGATCTAACAGCTTGTTTCTCAGATCACCATTGCCCCCAATATAGAGTCTCCCTTTGTGTTTGATCAATCCTTCTTCAATGGTAAATACTGATTCTATCTCAGAATTGATTAACTACTCGGTTAGTATCTTGGTAACCAATTCATCACCCTCATAACTCTTAAGGACATCTTCCTTCCATAATGGCCTTACAACTGAAATGGCTCCCAATTCAGCCTGATTGTCACTCCCTTTCCTTGATAATGCATCTGCCACACAATTTTCCTTACCCTTCTTGTATTGAATCTCATAACTCAAGCCTAATAGCTTAGTGAGCCCTTTTTGCTGCATTGTTGTGGTGATTTTCTGTTCTAATAAAAACTTGAGACTTTGATGATCAGTTTGAATGATAAAGTGCCTTCCACATAAGTATGATCTCCATTTGTCTATTGCATTAATTATAGACATATACTCCTTCTCATATATGGATAAACCTAAGTGCTTTGGGCCAAATCCCTTACTGAAATAAGTTATAGGTTTACCTTCTTGCATGAGGACTGCCCCCATTCCTTTGTATCAAGCATCAGCTTCCACCACAAAATCCTTGCTAAAATCAGGGAGAGTTAAAATTGGAGCTGTGCACAATGCCTTCGTCAATTGCTCAAATGTCAGTTCTGATTCTATACTCCAATGGAAAGCATTCTTCTTCAACATGTCTGTGAGTGGTCTGCTTATAGCTCCATAGGATTTAATGAATCTCCTATAGTATCCAGTTAATCCTAGAAATCCTCTTAACTCTTTGATGTTGGTTGGTTTTGGCGATGCCTTTACTGCAATCAACTTTTCTGGATCAGTTTGTAACCCTTTCTCAGAGATTATATGTCCCAAATATTCCACTTCCTTCCTTGCAAAAGTACATTTACTAAGCTTGGCCATCAGCTGATTAGTCTTCATGATCTCTATTACCTCTCTCAGGTGCTCCAGTGGCTTGCAAGGGAGGAGCTGTACACCAAAATGTCATCAAAGAACACAAGGACCACCTTCCTGATTAGTGGCATGAACACATGGTTCATAAGAGCCTGGAAGGTAGCTGGGGCATTAGTTAATCCAAAAGGCATTACATTAAATTCATATAGGCCTTGGTGGGTCCTGAAAGCTGTCTTATGTTCCTCACCATATTTCATTCTCACTTGGTGATATCCTGCCCTCAGATCTAGCTTAGAAAACACCTTAGCATTTGCCAACTCAGAAAATAAGTCCTCTATAAGTGGTATGGGAAACTTATTTTTTATGGTTATGGCATTCAAAGCCCTATAATCTACACAAAACCTCCAAGAATTGTCCTTCTTTGGAACCAATAACACTGGTGATGCAAAAGGTGAAGTACTGTGTGAAATTACCCCAGCTTTGAGCATCTCATCCACCATCTTCTCAATTGTGTTTTTCTGTAAGAAGGAATACCTATAGGGCTTAGAATTCACAGGTTTTGCCCCTGGCATCAAGGGAATTTCATGATCAAAAGGCCTTTTTTGTGGTAGTGTTTTGGGATCTTCAAACAGCTCTTGAAACTCCATTAACAATGCATCTAACTCAGGGTAATTATCTCCAGTCAGAACACTTCCACTGATTCCTTGCAATTTCCCTTGCAACATATATCCCTTAACCCCTTCTTTTGTCCACTTTCTAACTTCTTTCTTTGAAGCTGGTTACAGAACAATGTTTTTGGTTAAGCCCTTAAGCCAAACTCTCTTCCCCTCCTTGTGGAATGAAATTCCTGGTGGTCTAGTGTGTAACTGGATGGGTGCATAAGTGTCAATCCAATCCATTCCCAGGACTATGTCACACCCCCCCCCCCAGCTTATGAACTCTTAAGTCCTTTTTAAACTTCTCCTTCTGCACTTGCCATTCCAAGGCATTACACACAGAATCACATTCTAATTTCTCTCCATTAGCCACAGTAACATGGAGAATTTCAGCCTTAGTAGCCAGTTTCCCAATCTGTTCAAGTATCCTAGGGTCCACAAAGCTGTGAGTACTTCCACAATCCACCATTATAGTCACTGCCTGCTTACCAATCAAGTCTAACAACTTGATGGTGTTAATTCCCTCTCCTCCAATAACTGCATTCAATGTAACCTCCACTTCCTCTTCTTCTGTTGATCTTTGAGGCTCATTTTCTTCTTCAACAACACCACTGAATTCCTCTTCATTGTCCTGGATTCAGTTCCTTCTATTATGTTAAAGGTGGGCTTCTACACTTGTGTCCAGGACTCCAAGACTCAAAACACCTGAAACACCTTTTTTGTTCTCTGAGCTGTTCTCTAAACTACTGACCTCAGGTATTCTGGCATTAGATTATAAGGTATTAGAGGCAGAAGTTTTGGGTGAATTCTGGCTAACTGGGTTCTATTAGGCTCCTTAGGTCTGGAATTATAGGTTTGGGTAAAAGATTGGGTTCTCTGGTTATTTTGGGTAGCTTTTTGGTTAGAGTAGGTGCTTGTTTTCTGGGTTTCACTCCCTTTCAATCCTCTCTCAAACAGCCTTGCTAACCACGTAGCCTCTTCCAAGTTAGCAGGTCTAGAAGTTCTCACAAAACACCTCAACTGCTGCTTAAGCCTCACCACAAAACTGTCTAGAAAGAATTGTTCAGATAAAGTAGGGTAATGTTGTAGCAAAAGCCCTTTGTATTCTTCATATTTATCAGAGAAATCAACCACATTTCCCCATTGTTTGAAACTAGAGAACTCTTCCATCACATCAGCATTACTTTCACAAAGTCTTTTACAAACAGATTCTAGCAAATTCAGTCCATTGGAATCCTTCCCTCAATCCATTCAAATATGCTTCATACCACATAGAAACCTTGCCAGTTAAATTAACACACAAAACATGCATAATCTCATCCCTGGGAATTCTAGCAAGCATAAAGAATCTCTCACACCTTATCACCCAAAGTCTAGGGTTATCATAATCAAACAAGGGGAATTCATATTTATACCTCATCATCTGATCTCCTCCAGGGTTGTTCTGTTTTGGCCTAGCTTCAAAATGGCACTCTTCTTGGCCCCCAGGGTCTGTCTGCTGCCATAGGGTTCCTAGGTTGAGCCATGAAGTTCTCACCCAGTCCCTCCTCCTCATCAGAGACCTCGCTCTACTTCAGTTGGCCCCTCCATGGCAGGTTCTTTCCCTTGCCTCCTCCCAGGCTCAGCACTTCTTTCTCCAGGGCTAAACTGAGTCTGGTGAGCCTGTCCTTGAACTGAAGATGGTTCCCTAGAGGTGGTGGTGGTCTGTTGAATCTTAGCAACTCCATAATCTCTGTAACACCCCGTGTTCACGACCCCTAAACCCAATTAATCACTTAACCAATTATCCAAAGAAAGAATTAAATTACAATAATTAATTAGGAAAAGGCACACCATTGTCCGTGGCCCTTATCTCTAAACCCAACCCCTAGTCCTAAAAGGAATAGAAGTTTAGCAAGCCTTTAGTAATTGGGCCTAATTAGGACTCTTAGATATATAAATAGGGGACATAGGAGGCACCTAGAACCCCCACCACAATAATCTCTCACCACACAAGGAATTCCAAGAATTCCCCTAGGAGAAATCAAGAAAGAAGAAAGACTTAGAGAAAGACCCTTCATAGCCAAGGAAATCAACTAAGGCTAAGAGGTAACCCATGTCTCAACAAAACCTATTTTCTTAGCTATGATCTCCTCTAAGGCATTGTAGACACAGGAAATTTGAATCCAACAAATGGATTGATATATGGTCGGTGGACCGACGTTGAGGTTAAATGTTGGGCCAATTTAATTAATTGGATCATATGAATTAATTTAATTTAATTAGCCTGATTAGAATTTGATTTGGGCTATTGAATTAATTAATTAATTGGCCCAAGCCCATTTCATATTTGAATTTAAGTTATAATTTTAATTTAAATATAATATTAATTTTATTATATTTGAATTAGATAATTGTAATTTAGTTTGAATTTGAATTAGATTATACGATAATGAACCTGGACTTGATTCTGGGCAAGGTTCATTTTCTAAAATGATTAATTAATTAATTAATTAAATGGGGAGTTTGTTGAGGAATGTTGGTTAGGCTTCTAGTATAAATAGAGCCTTCATTTCATTCCAAAACACACTTGAAAGCATGAAGAACTTGAAGAATTAAGAGTTGAGAGCATTTGAAGAGCTTGAAGGCATTGAAGAACGCTTGAAGATTTGAAGGCATTTTTGTCAATTTTGCAGGCATTTGAATCCATTGCAGGGTTGATTACTTCTAAATTCTTGACGCTCATTCTTGGAAGTCACGCCACTTAAATCCCGGAAGCTACGCCACTTGAATCCCAGAGGCACGCGCCAATTGAATCCCGGAGGCTACGCTATTTGAATCCCGAAGGTGCTTCCATAGATCACGTCAGTGAAGAATCAGAGGACTAGACAGAGATTTGTACCTGCATTGAATTATACACACGTTGTACACGGAATTTTGTGAATACATACAAAGTTTACTTTTTTGTGTTTACAGATTTTGGCACGCCCAGGGGACTACTCTGCCTCTCATTTCTTCACTATTGATTCACGAGCTCTACAAGGAAGGAATCCAAATTGCATCAAGAAATCCCTCCTCTAAGATGACCTATGCTCAAGCTACCCGCTCCAAGGCATCACTTGTGGCCGGTTCCGGCGATAGCCAAAATGTGGAAGGAGCAATGACTCAGAGCCGAGTGAGGAACATAGGGGTGCAACTGAACGAGACCGAGAACATGGTTCGTAACATCGTTCGAAGGATTGAAAGCAACTCCACCAAGTCATGGAAAGCTGCATATGACAAGGGATCATCTTCGAAGAGGGAAACTGTTGGCAGCAAGAGTATGACTCCCCAAAAAGGAACCCTAGTAGCGGTGGCTCGTCTCCTACATCTCAATCATCACCTCTGCCGAAAGCATCGTCAGAATTGACTCACAGCTGCACAGTCATGCCG